AAAGACCTGTAACGCCCTCCAAAACATCTGACTATTAGATGTACGCGGATGACATCTGACTAAGTATGGAAGTGTTAATAGTTAGTTAGGTAGTTAGTTATTTAGAGAGGGTGGGTTTCCCCATGCACAGCGACCAGTTTTGATCTACTGTGCGTCCCCCTGTGATATTCTACCAGTCTCTATACCCTACTGGTACTGGTGCATGCCATCATTCCCGACTCAGCCAGCGAGTTCGGCCTCTACTGGCTCAGCGGTATCTAGATGCTTCCCCCATCTACCAGAGGCGTTAGAGACTACTGTTGGGCGGGAAATGTCCTTACAAATTTGGCTCAGAGGTCTCCTTGAGACATGAGGTTCTTTTACGTGCTGTAAAGCTACGACACGGGACCCACGGCTTAAAGTCTCTCCCAGAGGACTTGTTCCCTGAATTTTTCCGCCCTTAAAAATTCCACGACCTCCGCTGGGTTTGAACCCGCGTACCTTGAGTCATGAGGTGGGAACGTTAGCCCTAGACTATGGAGGCTGCTATGTAAATTAAGATACTATTGGCACCAATGTTTCAAGGAATGAAGCAACACTATGATTTTACCTCTTGTATGGGTGTATTTCTGCCTGCAGTTGGAGAAGGCTGAGCATTGGCAACACTGGGTGGGGAACTGGGGCCTGAGTCTGGATTGCTACTTGAAGTATCAACTGGAAAACAAACAAAGCATCAGTCAAATAATAGATACAATTTACAATGAGGAGCAAAGAAGGAAACATACATACCATTCGTAACTTGCTGCATAATAGAAATAATTTCAGAACTGATGTTACACTCACATCTCAAGCATGCAGTAATCAGTTAACAAGCCATACTGTTTATTAACAACATGACATGCAATTAGTACATTGCACAACAGCCAAGTAAGATCTATCACTGGAACATGTAATTTTTATTTTATGTGACATTTTACAACATTATCTGTTCAGTTCTAGAAAAGAATAAAACTACTGTCTGGTTATACCAGAATAAACAGCTAAAAATAATGTATTTGAATAGGCAGCAAAGTAAAAGTAATGCCTGTTCTTGGACTGACTGATAAAATTAACATAAACAGCCTATACTTGGAACAGAACTACAAATGAAATAAGAGAACACACTTGGAAGATATGACTTAAAAATAAAATAAGTTTCTACCGAAATGAGTAGCTCAAAATAAGAATCTAGACAAAGCTAATAAAACTAAGAAGCTCCCACACTTAAATTTGATTATACCCACTGGAACCCATTACGATCAATGAAAAAGTAACTGACATGTTAGTATGCATGTGATCCAAGTAAATCAGAATTTAACTTACAGAACTCCAGGACCTTGAGAGATAATTTTCTGGATGGACAGTGGAACATTAAAACAAATTAATGATAATGCCCCATTCTAAGATGCTCAAGTCCTTTTACCATTCAAACATATATTCTGACAATAAAATAATGGGGTATGAAGGGACAGGCACTTCCTCTATCAGAGTAACCACAGAAAAGGCTGGGTCCATTTTAAATGATTTACTGCCATAAAAAACAACTTCTGTAGATGACTGGCCCTATCCCATGCACTGAATGCTGTTTAACATCTGCTGTTAAGGAGTAATACAAATTTTTCTTTCCGGGATGTATGTCAAAGCATATACTGGACATGCCTAATGCAGTTACTGTAAGCTGAGTTACTGCAAAGCTGGCATGTTGAACAATACTAACAAAGAAAAAGAGACAAGAGTTTTGAGTTTCAAACTTGAGAACATTATATGCATTTGGCTCATCTCTACTGTCATTATTTATGCATACTAACAAGAATATATGATGAGAAAAGATTGGGTTGAACAACAATGGACAAAACTGTTGTTTCATGTTATACATAAAAGAAGATGCAGAGAAAAAAGATTATTCTGAATTACAGCATAAGCAGGATGAAACCATATTTACACATAAGCTCTCCAGTGTCACTCCTTGTTAAAAATCAAGTAAAAAAATGTTATACAACGTATGTCCTGCAATAGTCAGTTTTAGAGATCCATGTCACCATATGAGGCAACATGCTCCTCAGCAGCGTCACTTGTCACGACAATACACAGCACACTGTTAGGTGTGCTCACACAGTGAACAGCACAAATCAGTAATGATCAAATGCTCATGGAATACACACATGATGAATACTGTGACATGCTCTAATTCCCTGGTACTTGTAATAGTTAATCTAGTATTGCTGCATGAGAATATGCACTACACTGTCCTGGTCAACATCACCCAGTTGCTAATGTGTTTCGATGACTGGAGCAGGGTCTCTGTGAGACAGGAAATGTAGCACCTATGGCACTTATAAGTGCAGGTTGCCCACACACACTGTACGGACATTAACCAATGAAGATGTTGTAACTGCAGCGGTGGAATGAGGGCCAGCCATGGAGATGCCCACAATATTACATGAGAATTGGGACTAACCAAACACACGGCCCTGGAAGTACTTCATGACAATCAATTGCATCCACACAACTACTCACAGAGTGTATATCTGTTTCCAGAGGATCATCCTCCACAGACGCAATTTTGTGAACGACTACAACTTCAAAACACTGATGACGACCTATTTGCATGTAACATTCTGTGTCCAGGTGAAGCATGTTTTACATGTGTAGGTGTGTTCAACATCCACAACAGTTACCTCTGAGAACAGGATAATCCTTATGCTATATGTGAATGTCAGTATCAAGTCCACTTCAGTGTCAGCATTTGGGATGGATTCATCAGGGACACAGTCATGGGCCCCTAGCTGATACTTGAGAGGTTGACTGCTCAGTGATATTTATTCCTTCCTAGGAACTGTTCTATTAGAACTGCTTCAAGATGTGCCTCTAGCTATGAGGCAGAGTCTGTGGTTTCTGCATGACAGACCTCCAGTACACTATGGGGAAGATGACTGGCAGTCCAGGAAGGTGGACTGGATGTCAACTGTTGGCTTCATGGCCTTCTTGGTCATAACATCTAACTCCAATGAATTTTTCCTTGTAAGGACACCTAAGGGAGCATGTTTACGCAATCCCCCCCCCAAGGACTGTGAAAGATCTCGTGGGAAGCTTTCAGGCAGCTGTGACAACATGTTAAGGTATGTCTGACAGAGTGGTGTGCAGTACACTGCCATTTGCCTTGAAATGCACAGAGCATGATTTAAACACCTACTATAACAATGTGGCATGCATGGCTTGTACTATATGATGGTGACATGTATCTTGAAAACTAAAGTCAGAGGACATACCGTGCACAATATTTCTACTTGTTTTTTTTTAAACAAGGAATCACACTATTGAGTGCCTGTGTGTGAATTTTGTTTTATTCCATGTATGTATATGTGTGTGCGTGTGCACGCATGCATGTGTGTGTTGTATATGCATCCTTAATTGAACCATGAATCTAGTGTTTACCATTTAAAATAATTAAATATTTTGAAGATCAGAAATATCTTACTTTATATTAGAACAGCAGATGTATAACATATGTATAAATGCAGCGAATGGAGCAGTATTAAATGTCATATTAACATACACTTAGCATAGCTTTCCTTTTGTACACAATTTTAAAACTGTGAAGTTGCTGCAATGCACCGACACAGGAAAACTTGGTCTTCACATGTATGTATTAATCAATTTCCTTCTTTATTGTTTGGAGGAAACAGAAAACTACTTTCATGCTCTTCTTAGTGTTTTCTGGCCACTATACAGTCTACTCTGATGGGATGATGCCCCCATGCAATCAGTAATGAAACAGGTGCAGTAAACCATCGCTAATCCAGTTACAGTTATTCTGAATGTCACATAATCCGGACTGAAATATGAAAAATGAAAAAATTCTGTTCACAGTTGAGTACATACTTCAAAAGACATATGGGATATAGGAGCACAAGGACTATCACACTGTGTTGAGGGCAGCTGGACACTGAAGCAATGCAAGAAAATATCCAAGTCTGGCTTGAGCTGGATGAAGGAGACCCAGGGTTTCAGCTTCTTGTCTTTCTATAGTTTTTAAATAAAGGTTATACAGTAATATTTTTATATTTATTTTCATCATGACTAATTATATTATTAAATTCTCCACTTATTTGTTTTCTAAGTTTTTTCTTTGTCTTTTAAGGCTACCTTTTTCTTCATTAATCTGGATTATCGCTTAATTCAGATGACCTCTACCAAATTAATGTGGATTAGCAAAGGTTTACTGTACAGGATACAGTCTGACCATACTTTATTAACTTGATATTCAACTGTCTTGTATTAAGAGCCATGAGCTTCAAACAGAATTTAGAATAAATGAGTCAAATAGTTCTCTTATAGAAGGCCATTTGGACATCCATTCACTATTCTCACTTATTCACTTTATAAATTTGTAACTCACATAGATGAAAAGCAAGGACTAATAAGTCAATTAGTTCCTCGGTAATTCACAACTCCTGAATCTTTCTTTGGGCAGAAATACAGCCTGAAGCACCAATACAAAATCTTAAATAGCTGTTCTTTTATCACAGTGGAATTACACCTTCACCAACAGTAATGCATCGCATACTTGCTAGCTGCGACTTCCTCTTCAGTGTGCTGAGGTGGCGATCTTTGTGCCTGGCCAAGGGGCTATTGCGATGGTTGTTCATCACTCTTTGCTTGAGGCGTACCTTCAGGAGGTTCGGCTCGGAGGCTGTGTGATGGAAAAGATACAACAGGACGGCACAAAGGGAAGGAAGAGACATATTGAAAGTTAGAGCTACCTCTCAGCATTAGAACTACTTTGATCAAACCCATATACAGTTCAATTTGGAAACACCAATTTGTAAAATGTAAATTTCCAACCAAATATCTAATATCAGTTACTGTGGATGTGTCTTATATTCTGTGGCAATTTCATTCTCTGCTATAAGAAGCTTGCTCATTGGATAAAAAACTATCATCGCAAACCCAGTAATGGTTCTTCCCAAAACACAACATCTGTGTATCTACTGCCTCTACTGAGAATACAGAGAGTCAGTGTTACAGAACTGTTTATGTAAGATACAGGACACTTTCATAAGAAGTGCTAAAAATATTCAAATACTGACCTACCTGTAGCTACTTAGTGCTTGCATATCCAGACATGCAATACAACAGGAACAATCATCTTTCCATTATCTCCTTTAAATGCCAGACTCTAATATTTAATGTAAACAGTAAGCAGTTTTAAGCTTTTTTTAACACAAGAAGGTTTGAAATACTGTATTGTGATCAGTCTTAATGTTATTAATAAGGAGAACCTCTATCCTTTCTCATACTAAATACAGTGGACCCTGAAACTCTGAACGGTTTGATGATGGAGTAACTTGCAACTTGAACAAAAAATTCAAGGAAAATCCGGTTTTGAAACTTTAACAAAAACTCAGAAGTCAAAGGACCACATGGTTGTCATGTGGTNCACATTCTCTCTCTGCTTGGTCGTATGTGCAGTTGCTCGGTCAGGGGTCCCATGACTTGTTCAGTGAGCATCTCACAAATTCAGTCCATTTTTTAGGCATTTTATTTATTTATTTGGTTTATTTCTATGTTATCTTTAATGATACCCATTCATAATGGTACCAAAGAAAATTACTAGAGTTGAAAAGCCTAAGAGAAAAATTGTAATTTCTAAGATAGAAATGAAAAAGAAACTTATCACAGGTTTCTCTCCAAAGAAAATTCAAGTGGTGGTAATGTTAATGAACCACAACTCTCAACTAGTGGATTCCACATGAAAGAAGGGTAATTCATCTTCCAGTGAACAGTAATATCCCTCCTATTATTAGTATTGATTGATTATTATACAATATTTTTTATGTATGTGCTATTATAAATAAAAACATTCAATTACTGAAATTAAATATGCTTGTTTCATTATTTACAAATATGATCTTTTGAAATAGGCACTTAAAACGTTTTATACTGGGTAAATTTTGAGGGTCTGGAATGAATTAATTCAATTTACATTACTTCAAAAGGGGAAATTTAACTTGAAAGTCGAACTGTTTCCTGGAACAGATTGTGTTCAAAGTTCAAGGTTCCACTGTACTTACTAACTACCAGTCTGTCAATCTTCTAAGTGATTAACTAACTAATTCCACTGGGTGAAGTTCTTCTTGAGTTAATGGCCCATTTGGTAAAGCAATTTTCTGCCCTTTATGGAACTCCATTTTAATGTTATTCATCCTTTCTTATACTTCAATCAAAAGCTTCCTTCACAAGTCTCCATTTTATATCATGACAGACTGAACAATAAGCATATTCATGTCTCAAAGGTGACAAAAGGGTAAATCCGCTGGAACTGGAAATTAAAGTCTTCTTGACTGTGTTGCAATGTAGTATGGAAGACAAGCTGCTCCAAAACTTTGACACCTACCTACCAAACTACAAGGAATCACATTTCAAAAGACTGAGATTTTCATAGTACCGCTATACCAACCTAAAAGACTGAATGGAATTATTCAACAATATTGAATTTGCTACCATGAAGAGTTAGTTTAAGTGAAACTAAAATTAAGCATTTAAGAATGGACATGAAGCGTTTCTGAATGGACATAAACTAAAGTGCTGACATCGTAATAATAGAAGCCAAAGTTACGCGTACGTTTAAAGCAACTAGGCATCTGCATCCTAGTCATATTTTTGAGACATTTCTTGTCAGTGAAGATAAAGCACTATTTGTGCAGTTTCATATATATGAGTCTGATCAACAATGGTAATACATGCTATTATTAAAACACAACACACAATGAAGCAAAACCAAGTCTCAGGCAATTAATAATTCTACACACACAATATTCAGACTTCTGTTAATGCAACTTATTGTTTAATTGAGTTGCATACCACAAAAGAAACCACAATATTTCTGAAACTAAATGTCTCTCTCTTCAGATTATTACTGGAAGTCATAAAAAAATGCTGAATGTCCAAGCAGAACACAGAGCACTGGTGTCCTGTATTCTCTGAAACATGACTAGGATAGCTTCTCCAAGTGTCTATACTTAAAATAGAAATGCACAGCCACTTCATATTCTCTTTCCTGCTATAAGCCACCTGAACAAACACTACACTTATTATCCAAACTGATGAGAAGGGTATATATATATATATATTGTGGTCATATTTCTAAATTTCTATGTTGCAAGTGTTAAGTTACAATATATCTGACTTACTTCAGTAGTGTCAGTGAACCAGCAACTCATGCTTTCCAATAACGTTCACTTTTTAAAATTTAACAGGGATATGAACATGATGTTCTATTAAGCAGACTTTTCGCCGCGCCATAGCTCAAGCGATTAGTTGCTGGCTTCCCACAGCGATGTCCCGGGTTCGATCCCAGGTCTGGTCAAGTAGGATTTGCGGTGGACAAAGTGGCACTGGGGCAGGTTTTTTCCAAGTACTTCGGTTTCCCCTGCCAATCTTCATTCCAACAATTGCTCTACAATCACCCTCACCTATCATCTAGGGCAGGTACAATAGGCCAGAAGTGGCTGCAGTACAAGGGACTTAGTCCCACCTCACTAGCAATAAAAAAAAAAACAGACGTTTAATTGTAAATGTATCTGAATTTCTGAAACTTCATTTATTACAAAAGGACTGACTCTCTTCAGGTGACAAAGAGACCCAAACGTATTACAAATGACTATCACTTCACATGGGGGAACGCGGTTGCACAGTTCGTCGAGGCAATATGCTACAAGTCGTAAGGTCACAGGCTCAATTCCCAATGAGGTCACTGAAATTTTTCAATTTACCTTATCTTACCAGCCATACTATGGCCCTGGGATTGACTCAGCCTCTAACAGAAATGAGTACCACAAATCTTCCTGGGTGTAAAGGGTAGCTGGCATGCATGGCTTGACAACCTCACCACCATGTGTGAGCAGATTGTCTAGAAGATGTGGGAACCTTGACCTCTCACATGTCTATGGGCCTTCATAGCCTGTTACAGGGACAGCTTTACCTATACCTTTCCATTATTTCATAAACCCTGCAGCATGTAGATCTTATACTTCCTTTGAATGAGGTGTGCTTACTAATGACAGCTTCACATGAAAGAGCCAATAAAAATATCAAATGTAAGAAATTTCTCACTCTGATTGCATTATGGCTTTGCATACCAGTTTTCCTGAGAGGAAAATCATCATCAAATTTGGGCATCATGGACTGCATCCGATATGAGTGCGCAACTCCTGTGGCTGGATTGATGCTTGTTACAGAGGAACTTGCATCACTCCCTTGTGGAGCCTGCAGTACACTCCTGTTTAACAGAAAGGAAAGTCCTAATTAAAACTTAATTTCATATGTAAAATGAATAGGTAACAATGAAGATCACTTTGGGTTTCCTTGGTCCCACCATATATTTCTGTTTCAGAGGAAATTCAGTTACTCAGTTACTGCATTTGTCACTCTATTGCCAAAATAATATTACTAAATTAGTAAAAACATATCCCCCTTATTTACATCCTTTATTTGACCACAGGCCATGGCATTCCATGGTGTGACACACTCCCTGCATCCTAATAAACGACAGTGACTATCTCCTGCAAAATGTCAAGTGACATAAGTAGCCGAGTCTTAAGTTAGACACTTGTTGATCAATGTGATATTGGGGGTCACTACAGCTTCTCAACTATTCCTATGTACCTTTTGTATGGAGTACTGAAAGTAAAACAAAAAACCCACACTTTGACAGAAAACAGAACTGCACAACACAGTAATAATCATTTTCTAGTTTGCTGACCTGAACTCCGTAACATACTCGTATAACTTACAGATTACTGTCTCCCTGTTACAAAAATACATATTACATGTTAATTTTTATCATGGTCACTTTCAATTCTTCACCAGAACACTTCACTGTTCAACACAATGGCAATGCTGCATTGTATGAGTAATAAAATATTATGGTCATGACTGCAGATAGTGAGAGCTGCAGTAGAACTGCACTGAAGCATCAGGATAAAGTTAACTGGAAAACAGGTTTTCAGATGCACAGATAACAATTTTTGTTAACAATAAAACTTACCTTTTTGTTAACTCATTGTTAAAACCTCCTGAATTGAGATCCACAAAAAAATACTGCAAAAGTGCTGGAAGTATCTGAGCAGACAGACGTTAACAATGTTTGATGAATTGCTTAACTCGGGCAGAGTATAATTGTGGACAGCATGATGATCATGAATGGTGATTCAGGACTTGAGGAAACCTCAGTTAGCATACGATGACTTAACTGAAGAGGTGACTCAGTGAATGTGAAATAGCTGTAGAAATGCCACAAATTATGATCTTTAAGTGAAAAGACTTACTTACAAATTTAAATTTGGCCATTAGATTCAGACTTGTTCAAAGTGACAGATCCACTGCTGTATAATTATTTTGGGGGTATTCTATATTATAGTCTATTGTAATACTGTATATTCAGCGTAATTCAAAGTCCTATGGTCAAGTTTAGGAGGCCACTGGGAATATAAATGGGAGCCAAAAATTTAAACAAATCATCTCTGATCCACCACCCTTGTAGAGTTATGATATTTTGCGACCTTAAGAAACTAAAATAACTGTCCATTTATGTATAAAGTCATTTACTCATACATTTTACATCCGCATGTAATACTTTTAATTTCATTGAAGGAAAAAATTCTTAAGTCACTAGCACATTTTAGCTTGAATTTTGAATTACATTTAACACAACTGTCTGATCATGTAGTGCTGACTTGCACATTCCTACATATTTCTTTACAAGAAATGGTCAAATCTAACTTCTCCAGCTCAAACCCGTGCTTCAAGTGACAGTGACTGCAGTCCCTGACATAAACTAATTTTCTAAGTTGTCTGCTGATGCTACCAGGATGCAATTGACAAAATCAATGCAATCTCATGCTTCTGTAGCATAAATGTCTTATTACATGCACCACCATACAAAAAATCAAGATGGTTCCAGTCAGGAGAATGTGGAGGCCAGATGACTGAAACCCATAACCAATCCCAAAATGACTGTTCAACCTATTAAGCATTTGGTGAGAACAGTGGGGAGGGGCACCATCATGCAGAAACCACATGCCCTCTCAGACATTAAGGGGTACATCCTTGGTAAATAGGGAAGGGTTCTTTCAAGGGTTCCACTAAAACGATTCAGTATTATATAAGGTCTAATTGGGCAACCGTTGATATTATCTTGTCAAAGTGAAGAGAATTGAGAAGCATGAGAACTTTGCAGCATCCCTTCATACAAATTGTGCAGCCTACTTACTTCATCCTAATGAATGCTGCAACATCAGTTCAAAGTACATGGCACAAAAGTCAGGTTCATCTACAGTTTTGTGTGGAAGCCACTGAAAGAACTGAAGATAGCCTTTGTACAAGTTGTACATGAATAAGATACAACTGTTCCATGTGCAGGGTACACCAGAATTCATTCTGAGAAAGCTCTGATTTATATGCAAACAAGTAAGTGCTCATCATTGCATTAATATTGTCATGTGTTAAGCGACTATAGATGAGGTTTGGATTGGTAAACAGATTTATTGGCCCTTTAAACAACTCGTGACTACACTTTGCAAATGACTATCACACAAAGGCTGGTGTTCTCGGTCATGCTCTTCACTACACTGCTTGGTAACATCTTCCAATAGTCAACATTCCTCTGCTCTAGGGCTAACATCCTCACAGGCTGGTGGCCATCTCTCACCAACCTCCTACTCTTCTAACTGCCAACTCAAGACATTACTGCTCTGCCGCTGACCTCCTTCCTCTCCCACACTTCTGACAGGGGGCAATTCTCTCATAATGGTAGCTATGCAACACTGGAATGGACCCCACAGAAAACACCATCAACAACAGAACTTCTGTTGTGGTGACAGCTGCGGTGAAGAGCTGTTTATTGCATGATCACCTAGCAACACATATGTTTGCGCAGTCATTCCCTAGCAACAGCTGTCTCTGCTGGCTTTTCATTTCTAGCTTTCAGCAGACATGCCACAATATGTAGAGCCTCCAACACTTCCTCTTCATTCTGCATAATGCATCTGCCATGGCCAGCATGTGATGGTGGCAAGAAGGCATCTGTTTCCCTTAGACTGTGGCGTGTCACGGCAAACACATGTCTGTTCGGTGGCTTCTGATCTTGATACTGACACTGTTATTCCCTCAAAGCAGCTCTAGAATATACATCACAAAAGTTGTACATGAAATTCACATTAGCACTCTCAGCCTTAACAAATCTTGCCATCTCATTTTATTGTTATCAGCAGTCTGCCTTCAGAAATAATATTTGTCATAAGTGAATCCAGTATCAGTTCCATCTTGTGACTTTATGAAAGCTCCTCTACACAAAGATATGATACATCAAGGCATTAAGTTCAAAATGCTGTAATTCTGAAGTGGTGGCCAATTCAGAAATGTTCTGTTTACATATTTTTGCTCCAAATTAACTCTTCACTGATCTCCTACAATTTAGCCAAAGGCCTTTGAAGTTAGCATGTACACAGTTCGACCAAATAACAACATAACTCACTTTCTTAAGAAGAGTATGCCAATTCAAACACGAGATGGGATAAATAAACATTTTTGCAGGAGCAGAGAAACATGTTATTGCACGTTTCTCACAGAGTTTGATTCCCCTTGCAACTATCTGCTACCTTCAAGCAAATATTCTTTTGCCAGTGTAAAGCATTTTAATCATTCCCCTTTACAGTAACAGCAGAAATATGCCACTGTTTTCCCACAACAATTGTTCACATTTGCTTTTTGTATTCCTTTATCATTACTGGTTCTAAGTATTTACATAGAATGGAAGCATTTGATACATGTACTCATATGTTTTAGGCACCCTGTTAAAGGCTATTTACAGTGTGCAAGGCTGGCATGCAAAGTAAGTTGTATGAGATGAGCTCTGGAAATAGACCATCATGCCTCCCACCGAGTTTAAAATGAGCATACGTCTACCAAACAGTTGTTTACTATATCAGTGAGAGAGACAGAAACTAAGTGATCAACATAGTTTCGTAGAGCCACAATCTCCAGCTACACAAAAGAAAATTAATGTATGCCATATTCACCCATTCAGTACAAAATTCCCCTCTGATACATCACACAAACTTGGAGTAACAGAATTTCACTCGATGTCCAATTCAGTTCACATACAGAAAGGTATACACGAGTAGGAGAGGCAGCCACATGCTCTTAAATGACAACTGAAATAGATTTGTTATTCAGTCAAGGTTTGTGAATACCTGCAATCTAAATTTATTACATCTTCAGATGGCAAGAGTGATATTAATTATTTGAAAGCAGATGTGGTCTGTGCCCGAGATTAACAGTCTGATATACATAATTTACTTGTACTTAACATAGCACAAAAAAGTTCTTTAAAACCTGCAGAGAAGCTACTTGGCTTTCAGAAAATTCATGAAGGGCCTTACCTCACGAGCCCTAGCATTAATGCAATTTTTCATCAAAAGTTATTTCCACAAGTGCATAGTACTCAATACATAATGCATCTTCTGCTCACAAGTATATTCTGTTCCAAACTGTGATAAGATGTCCCAGCCAAGCAGGAAGTTCATATTCTCCAAACCTGTCCAAATATCTGGCATTCTGACAGGATTAATGTGTGTGTGAACAAAACGTTTTATTATATTACTTATTACCTGTTACGTGTTTTTGTGGGATACTACGTGCTAAAATACTGTTTTCAAAAATGATGACATAGGGAAAACACAGTGCAAAGCTATTCATGATGTATTTCAATCAGCATCCCCGCCCCCCATAGATTCATACAATATACGCTACAATTATAAGCTTCTCCTAGCTGTCTGTCATCCAAAAGAGGATGGTCATCCCAGTGCTACAGGTAGGAAATGTTCATATGCAAGCATATGTTAAAAAGTTAAGTTTCGTGACTCTCTGTATGTGACTAAATAAGTGGCGTGTGTGTTTTTGTGTGTCTGCATGATGCACGCATATGTGGAAGATTACCTTCACATGACAATTCTGTAATACAAAAGGGCCCATGGTTGTGTGTGAGTGAGTTGGTGAGTGTCAGTAAGTCAGTCAGCTACATGCACCTAGACAAAAGTCAGGTTAAAAAAACATCCTTTACGAATCTGGTATACAATTAAATAAGACTGAACATCTGTCAAACTGTAGCTGGTCTGATTAAGTGTCTAAAACTGTAACAGGAACCAATGTAAAATATTACTTTGTTAAAATTTTTAACAAAACAGGTTTTATTTGGGCCTGTGAAATGATGGAGACAGAACAACTCAACAAAAAGACAAAAACAGTCAGTTAAATATACTTGGCTGCTGCTACACTATGAAGAGATGTCACAATGTCAGTTATATTGTGGAAATATTCTGCTAAGATCTCCTATAATAAGTCATGAAGAGGGAAGGTACATTGTTCTCCATAAGAATTCCTGTTGGATGTGTAAATTAGTAGAGGGTACATCACTTTGATTACAGATAGGTGTTGGCCAACTTGCAACAAATTCTCATGTGGCAGGTGAGTATACTGAATCCAAAGGTGCATAAGCAGGATCTCCTTCTTCCCGATGAAGTTGAAAGCAGACTACCACACATTAACAGATTGCTTATAGGGTTGAGAGTTTATTAGAAACCACACTGCATCAGATAAGAAGAAGTTACACATAAAATCTTGATGCTTTCCAATGCAGAAAAATAAGAATGGTGTGTTCATGGGTGGGAGAATGAATGTGTGAGTGTAAGCGCATGTGTGCATGGACTCAAGTGTGAGCATGAATGTGTACATGCACATCTGTAATGTATGTATACTAGGAGAAGTAAACCATTCAGCTAAAGGCTGCTATGGGTGCAACCCCCTTATTTAAAATGTTATCAACATAAAATAATGCTAAGCTGCAAAAAGGAGTACTGTGTAACATGCAAAAGCGAATCTTAAAATACTGTCACGTGTAGGGGGTTATGTGTGATGAAAATAAAGGGTTCTAGTTTGGATGAATTTGATTTATTAGCACTTCAGTTACATTCTCTCTCTCTTAATTACATTTAATATGACGCTAGCACTGATTTAACACACTTTATAGTTCACTGTTGCACACACACTAGGATTCTCAGTTTCCACTGTTTGTTTCCTAGCAATGGATCTCAAGACAGAAACTAGCACTTCAAATCACTATGAAGTCTTCTTGCTAGTTCATCTTCAATGGCTCTGGAACCTCAGAACTAAAAATTCTTCTGAACTCACTCCTCCAGCTTAAGACTGACTCGTCTTGAACAAATTCTTTCACTCTTACTTATACAGCTGAGGAATGGACATGGATCTACAGTAAACACATATCACGTGACTGCTATCCAGTCAGTCTACTGGCGCATCTGTCAGATCTACAGAAAAAATAGTTCCTCCACTACTGTGCGTTGGAGCATGTTTACAGAGCTGCTGTCCAACAATCGAATCCATTATATTATGAACATTTAAATAAGCACACAAACATTACCACTTTTTTGTAAAGACAGGAATTGTGAGGGTGACTTGGACCCACTTGTTCTGATCTGCTCCCCAACAGCAATGTATCTCACTCACATTTCAGAAAGGAACAGACCTAGACACACTGCCTTTGTACACTAACGATACCAAGCAGGCCAGTCAAGCAGTTAACATTCTAGGCTTGAATTTGGGAAGAACTTGGTTCAAATTCTGGCCAGGGCACTGGCCATCCTGGTCAAGGTTCTCTGTGAGTTTCCTCAGTCCCCCCAGACAAATGCTGGGATAGTACCGGGATCAGGTCTAAGCTGCTTCATTTCCAATTCAGTATTCACCAATCACTCATCAATTGATACTATGCAGTCTGAGAAACTGACACCATAAAATAAATCACACGCCAGAGATTACCGAGTGCAGTACATCTCTACAAACGATCAACTGCATACACTTTTGTACATACAGACTTCAATGACATAATTATCAGTTACTCTTAATGCCTTTCAAGATCTATATATATATATATAT